TAATTACAGACTGCTGATCTTGATAAAATGTACTCTTAGATGATTGATGTGATCGAAACAAGAAGAATGAGTGACATATAAATTTTTCGAATTAGATTAAGTTAAGCAGAAAGAGTGTATTTGTATCGATATTTATGTTTGTATAGACAATAAACTATCAGATTTTGATTGGAACGACGCATACACCGTCTTGCAAATTTCTAACCTGAAGAAAAAAGTGTAGTAGTTTTGCTCATCCGCAAGAAACCGTGTCCAATCCTGAATCTCCAGTATTCCGTTGCTGCAGTTCTGTTGAATGTGAGCGATTGTCCCTGATAGATGGATCAGTTTCGTTTCTATTATTAGAGTAAATGTTGAGTTACGAATGAGTGGTTGAATGACGTTTACTACGAATAATTGTGAATATCCGCGATATTTAACTGAATGATGATTACGATACAATTAAGTGAATAATAACACGATAGCTGAATTAATTGAATAATAATATATTAAGAAGCCAACGTTGGCTGCTCACACATTGATTTGAATGGTTATGGAATAAGTGTAGATTTAGATTCCGACATCTCTGATCGCCATCGCTCCTCGCACTAGCTTGTAGCCTTTATATCATCGTCCATTCTCACGTTCCTAAAAGATCATATTTGTAGATAGTTTCTAAAAATATGATCTTTTGTAGATATCAGATTTTCGATTGAAACGGTGCGGCGCATACACCGTTTTGTAAATTTTCCACTTGAAGTAAACAACGCAGTAGTTTTGCTCACCCGCAAGAAACCGTGTCTAGTCCTGAATCTGGAACATTCCACTGCTGCAGTTTCTGTTGAATGTGGGCGATTGTCCCTAATAAATGGATCAGTTTCGTTTCAATTACTAGAGCAAATGTTGAGTTACGAATAAGTGGTTGGATGACGTTTAATACGAATAATTGTGAATATCCGCGATATTTAACTCAGTGACGATTATGATACAATTAAGTGAATAATAACACGATAGTTGAATTAATTGAATAATAATATATTAAGAAGCCAACGTTGGCTGATCACACATTGATTTGAATGGTTATGGAATAGGAGTAGATTTAGATTGTCCCTAATAGATAGATCAATTTTGTTTCTATAGATCAAATCTTATGATACAATTCTTAGCTTTCATATAATACCTTTGTCTTGGCTGTTAGCATACATCTCATCTGAATATGCAACAAAGATGTTGCATTTCCCATATGTTCATCTTTATGTTTTGATTGGAACCATTCATCGAAATGGTGTCTTGCGAATTTGTAACGTACAATGTTTACACTAGTGATTCCATAAAGCGTTGGGTGGTTTTCTTGTTGGTTCTCGAACCGTCATTAATCAAGCGAAGAAACACCAACAGACTGAAGTTATTTCTTTGATTATTTTAAGGCAGCGCTTTCATCATTTCAATTCTATAGCCATCACGCAAGTGTATCTTAGACAATAATTTTCACGACGATCTCACGATATTGGAAGGTTCTGCAGGAAATTATTCCGCAACGATAGACAAGGCACCGTACTGAAGCATAGATGGAGCCACAGAGGTGCCGTCGGCCACTTCTAGGCCAGGGTTATCTGCCGAGCACAATTTGGGTTGTACGTCATGCGGAACGTGAAGATAACGTGAACAAGACGTGGCGTCAATCGTCGTACGTTCGCCGTGGCCTGGCAAAAGATAACTCACCGCTGTCAATGCGAGGACGACGTGCGTTTCTTGACGTAATTTTTGCGTGATATGACGTCGTCC